CCTGTTTTGCCCTTCTGAGATATTTGTCACCTTGCAATGGTTTTAAGGGTCTGCCTGATATATCTGAGGACCAAACAGAATCACTCCCTCCGGGGGTTGTGTAACTCTCTATGCCTTAGTATGTACCATAGTAGGACTACTTGTACACTATTGGCCTTTTGTAAAGTTCCAAATGTTTATTTACAAATGACAATTGACGATCTCATCTGTAAATTTGATTGCACATTTTATGGAGGCCTATTATTGTATACGTGAGTCTTAATTTTTACTTAGTATTTCAATTATGTTCTGGGCTCAATATAAGTTTTACTATCTTGATTCAACTTGAATCAAAAAAACCGAACATGAATTGCGTGCGACTTTTCTATCGTTGTGATGTAATTTCTAGCACGACCAACGATTTTGCTCTTAAAGTTTTTCCAAAGGTTAGCATACTGTTTAATAGTCAAAGTTTGAGTTTGTGTATGTGAAAAATATCACTATCAAAATAGTACCGCCTACTAACGTTATAGTCAAAAAAATGGGCATTTAGGAGAGTAGAAAGTGATTTGTGGGTTTCTGTTGGCAAATAGAGTTAAATATGGGGCACTGCAGCAATTTTAAAAAGTAAAAACATAGCCTAATTTTGTATGATAGAGAAGAGACTGACACCAACAAACTCCACAGTAAAACCACAGACATATTACATGTTAAATAGACGCCCTCTACTGGAGAAATCAACAACAGTGATTATATACTTCTATAAGTATCCACTAATGGGAAAATGTATTAATCAGTTAGAGGAACTCAATGATTCTTAAGTCTGTAATGCCTTTTCCCTTTTTTTTTTTTTACTTGTCCCTCGACCATATTTTTATGTCCCCTTAAATTCTTTTTACATCATCAGTCCCATCTCACACAATATCAAAAATCCAAATCAGCACATATTATACAAGATCATATATATGATTATTTATTCCAGGACATGTTAAAAACATTACTTTATACCTCTATATGCACTAATGTATGTTAAAACCATAAATATTCAATATAGTCTCTATTAGTTAAAATACAGTCATTAGAACTAAGTTTAAGTTTAAGACTAAGCATGCCTCATCACTAAACACTGCCCTCATGGTTTCAAATGTAATTTTATTTAATCTATTAATAGTTCACATCTTCAGCCACTACATTGTTAGTCATCAGCTGGGCAAATGTGGTTTTAGCGTGGTCTGTGAAGGGAGACGTCTGAAGCATGGTATTAAAGTGAGTACAAATAAATTAAACCTGATCTAGATGGAAAATGTTTGCCCTTATCCTCATCCTTGTGATATATCACTTTAGAGTCTCTCTTTACCAAATTTACATGGCAAAGGTGGCACAGAGGTGCTTCTGAAGTAGCATATAAGTGTCTTTACACAAACTTTTTAATGCTGCTCAGGGGTGGTATAAATGCATTTTACAGCAAATACTTTTATATTAGGGACTGAGGTGGGTCAAAGCTTGCTTAATTTAGTCTGGCTTTTATGCGGCATTATGTCTTTACAGAGAATCTTGAGCAGGCAGAGAGCAGCTGTGCAAAGATGTCTTTAGCATAGTTACTCTCAATGTTCCTCAGATCACAGATTCAATTAAGCTAACTAAACTTAAATGGCTTAAGTAAATAGGACTCAAATTAAGTAAGGAATACTTTTAATATACTAGTAAATAAGACTTGTGTGTGTATCTTATGGCCTATACACAAGAGTTAATTGTTTGTTTTGTTGATCAGGTGGCCTTGAAATACTTCACAAAGTCCAAAGACACGGAATACATGTTCATCGTAGGTAGGCTGCACTATCTAAACAATATCTCATAACTGTAACACCTCCATCTAATGCTGGGTACACACTAAAAGATTTTTAAAATCTTATAAGAGCTTCAAAATGTGAGAGACCACACACATGAGGACAAAAAATCCTAGATTTAACCGTTTTGCTTCTATAGTGTGTGGTGTGCCGTGACATTCCCCCCACACATCAGGATTTCTGATCGTAAATATTCAACATGATTCGTGATTGGGGCGCCTCCGACGTTCTTCAGAGCAGATTCAGTCACTCTTAACACACCTCACACCACAGGAAAATCTGATAAGATAATCTTTAGAACCACCAAGATAATCGGGACATTACCTAGGATTGTCGGAAGGGGAGAAATCGGCCCAAAATCAGCCCGATTATCTTGTGGTGTTTACCCAGCATAATTATGATAAAATACTGTATTTTAGTCTGATCATCAAAAACCCCTTCCAAAGGAGGTGGCCTTTACAATCCTGGCAAATAAAGGTCCCAACGTGCCAGAGATCATCAGGCTGTTGGACTAGCAAGGCCACCCTGTCTATTTCGTCATGGTCCATGAATGTCCCTCTCCCTGTAAGAATCTGGCTGACTTCATGAGGCGTCACATTTGAAGCCGCAGAGAGGGACGGACACGACAAGATGGTGCATGCTGTGCACATGTGTGCCTCAGTTGAGTGCTCCAACGTGACGTCAAACTGGACAACCTTCTCATTACCAGGGGGACATTCGAAGTCAAGCTGATTGACTTCAGATGTGGAGAGATTATGAGGAGGTCACCCTACAAGTCGTACTCTGGTATGCATTAAATAATTCATTTATTTTATGTTAATGGGTACAGAAAAAAACACGCTGCATTGAAGCAAACTTTCATATCAGACTAAATCTCTTTCCTCCAGGCACAGTGGCACAGTCCTCTCCAGAGGACCACTACTATGGCTGACCAGCAATGGTGTGGTCACTTGGTGGTTCTGTTGTTTGCCATTCTGTGAGGACATTTCACAAGGGGCTATGATCTGTAAAATAGACTCATTGGTCCAAACCTGGACTGTAGAAGGGTAAGAGCATCACAAAAAAAAAAATTCCAAATCAGACAAGTGGCTTAATAAAAGATGGCCCATTGGAAAATGCAGGAATTTTTCCTGTTTTTTTTTTTCTGACTTGAAGTCAGATCTTACAGCTTAGAATGAAATGATCAAACAGAGCAGGTGTAAAGTTTTGGGCTGGGGTTCTCAACTCCGGCCTTCCAGGTCCACTTTACTGAAGAGCTTAGAGCCGACTCTAATAAAACACACCTGAACAACTGATCAAGGTCTTCAGGATTACTAGAATATTACAGGCAGGTGAGTTTCTGAGAGAGATCAAGGTTGGAGCAACACTCTGCAGGAAAGTAGACGTTGAGGACCAGAATTGAGGAACCCTGGTTTAAGGTGAAAATCAGATGTCCCTCGCATCTTTCTTCACAGAATGCTGCCATTTGCTCAGGGCTCTCCTGCAGGAAAACCCAAGTCAGCAGCTTGGTCTGGGGCAAATCCTGTCCCACAACTGGTTTGCATAAAACCACACTAGTTGCCATCTCTCATGCAGCTTAGCGTCTCGCAGGCTGCAATGGGACACGCTTCCATTCCTATTCTCGCCTTTGCATCTTGCTGGGCGAGCAAGCCTTTTCAAGCGCCTTGTGCCTTGGCATCTCCTGCAGGAAAAGCCAAACCAGTGGCTTGGTCTGGGGCAAATCCTGTACCACAACTGGTTCAAGGTACTGTACATAAGATCAAAGATTGCATGGAAATCGCCAAGTCAAATCTGTTCTCATTTTGTTTCTGTTTTGTTTCAGATCATTGCATAAGACAACACTAGTTGCTCTCTCATGCAGCTTAGCATCTTGTAGGCTGCAATAGGAGACACTTACATCCCTCCTCCCGCTTTTGCGGGGCGAGCAAGCCTTGTGCAGTGTCTTGCGACTTGGCTTGTGGGAGCAGTATTTGCACATGGAGAAACTGCTTCTGGAGGGATTTCTACATATTGTATTTGTACATGGTTCATTTGGTTGCCACGTTTGGTTTTGGTTCCAAGTCCAAGCGGTTCCTGCCACAGCCCTCTGAATGCCAGAGCTTTCTGCCTCCCTAATGTTAGGAGCTTTCTTTCTTGGCCACCTCGGTGCTAGTCACAGTTGCTAAGGAAGCTGAGGTATTGCTGTCCCAAAGCTCTGCGTCTCTGCCTTCTTGATGCCAGTGTTCCAGGTCATGGCTGCCCCTGTGATCCCTGCCACAAGCACCCAAGTATTCCTGTTCTTGCTGCCTCAGAGGCTCCTGTAACTGCCCCAACCAGAACCAGCAAACAAAGCTCCAATCTCAGCTTCACCTCAGTTGATCTACGGCCATTCAAAAGCCAGATCTTGTTCATCCTGGTGCTACAGGGGGTGCTGTCATGGTTGCCCCCAACTCCAAGCTCTTTGCAATGTCAGCTCAGTCCCAGTCGATCCTGTCTTGACCTCAGAAGAGTTTCCTGCCACTGCCAGCCCAAAGGTTCTTGTCATGGCTGCTCAGAGCTCTGTCTCAGCTGCATCGGTGCCAGTAGGCTACTCCCTGTCACAGTTCCCCCAGTGATTCCTGCCACAGTTCTTGTTCATAGGGCTGCACTTACACTGTACCTTTGTTTTAAGACAATTCCTCAATAAAAAGTATACTTCATAGATGTGTCATGTTAGTGTCTTTATAATTTTCAGACTGTTATTTAATATCAGTAGCATATATTGCCATCTACTGGTGGCATAAAAGATTAAGCTTAACACGTTAGTAAAGGAGTGTCTAGTGTTAGAAAGGAGAGTTTAGCTCCAGCCAGCTCCAAACACTTGTCTGGAAGTTTCCAATAATCCAGAAGACCTTGATTAGCTGGTTTAGGTTTGTTTAATTAGGTCTGGAACTAAACTCTGCAGGATAGTGGCCCTCCAGGAGCTGCTTGAGTATTTGTAATATTACTTGAATAGTGATATATTCATATGAACTTGCTTTATTTCATGACTATACTCCATAAACACATACCACAATGTGAAAAACAAAATTTCAGTGAAAAAATAAATAAATAGTAAAATAATGTACTTACAGTGCTCATTTTACATAAACAGAAAATGTGAAGTATACCGATCAGATCAATCTTAAAAGTGAACTTTTATTGTTGAAATGTGTTTTGAATTACAGTAACAATGCCAAACAGTTCCTATATCACACCTGTGCTGCAAAAATGAGGTCTACTGTGGAAAATATGATACAAATATATTTGATACATTGCACAACACATCAAGTTAAGTGACACTTTCCCTTTAAATTGTATTCATTTGCATTCATGTTTCCAATCAAGAATAATTATTATTCATTAAATCCATAAGCACACTTTCAGATATGTTTGATGAGGAACCGATAAATAAATAGCACACTGAGAAACAACATATACAGAAATAAATCTTTTTGTACCTTATACCTGGGAATGATATCCCAATTTCTTCTATTTTTGGCTTTGTTCTTAGTGCACTCAGAATGTCCTAATATGAACATACAGCTAAATGTTAAATGTTAATGTGGAGTGTTGTTTGAGTGTTAGTGAGTCATTAAATAAATTAAAATAACCATATATATGATAATGTTCACACTGCTGCAATTCTTTGACCTTGCTTAAATAACAACAACAAAAAAAAACACAAGTGAAAGAAAATATGTATCATTGCCCTATATGTTTGAAATATTTGGCTTGTCCTCCCTGTATAGCTTCCCTGTAACCTGCCACAGTTTTACTTCAAAAACAATTCAAGTCACAATAAAGTGAATATATTAGTTGAAAACCTGAGTCTGAGATATTCATCTGAAAAAAAGAGCCACTTCAATGTTTGAACACAAAAGCAGAACAAGTGAAAGTCTGAATGTACAGCAGCACAAAAAGGCCACAGGTTTTCCAGGATCTTCTGAACATTTCTAGCCCATTCACATCCGTTCCAGAGATTAAGGCAACAGTGCATGAATACAACCCAGCACAAACAAAAAAATCTCTGCGACATACAATATGTGATATAATTATCAACCCAAAAAGAATATCTTCTCTCAACAATGCAATTTTATCAGATGCCCAGATAGCATGCTCCGTCCTGTTTAAATGACCATTCTTTGAATATTAATTGTAATTAAAACCAACAATTACTCTGTAGATGCCTAAGGAAGATCAGCCCTCTGTTTAAAATATTTTAAAATGATTTCCCTTTTGAGAAATGAGAAAACAAGAAGAGAAAGATCACTTGTTGTTAGCTTTGTTGTCAAGCTGGAAAAGATCCAGGATATCAAGCATTGCCTTTCTAATGTTACTTCCAAAGCGGTGAGAGTCCTATAAATCACAAAAAAAAAGGAACATTTTATTTTACACTACCATTCAAAAGTGTAACTTTGCTAATAATTTTTTATGTTTTTGCACCAAGGCTTATTTATTTGATCAAAAATACTAATAAAAAAATATTACAATTTAAACTAAAGTAACTTTTATATTTTAATGTTTTAAAATATTACATTATGAATGTCTTTAATGTCAATTTTGATCAATTTAATGCATCCTTGCTGAATTAATTTGATGCTGAATAATTAATTTCTTAAAAACATCTTAAAAACTACTTTATATACGATTATTAATTGTATAAAAATAATAACAACTATAATTATTATTATGTATACTTTATGATATTTTATATTACATTTGAGATGTAATAAAGTGAACTCACGGTCTCTGGGCTGGAGTGTTTGCTGGATATGTGGAAGTTGATGAGATGTAATGCCGAGTTCACACTGCACGATTTTCAAAGACATCACATCACTGTTGGTTTCACACTGAACGACTATCTGGGGTAGCATTCAGTTGTTGCTGT